ATCTTTCTTCTATCATTGACAGTCCCTCTAGGTTGTGGGCTGCTTGCCTGTGTTCCTGAGAAGCATCTACGGTACCAGTCTATAGAGTGTGTTTTCTTTAGTGAATTACCGGTATGTTTACCGGTAATAAACTTGCACTGTTTTATGTATATGTTTGATTACATACAGCCTTGTGACAGTTTTCCTGCATGTCATAAGCATTTGAATATAAATTAAAATGTTAAAATCAAATCTGATATTGTTTTACTTTTTATTTGGTGTGTGGAAGGTGTGCGGAAGAGGGGGTAGTCTTATACGGCGAGTATATAACAAACTCTGTATTTTGAGTGGAAATGTTAGGGGGTCGTCTTATACGCCCAGTCGTCTTATACGCCGGCAAATACGGTATTTCATTTTACTTGACCTTACCCAGCCACTCCATCCCAAGATATTTTAATATTCATTCTTGTGCTAGGCATATACTAAGGTCTTGGCTTTACAAAAATTGGTTTCTAATTCAAAGGAGCATCTCTCCATCTGGTTTTTCTGACCTCCTATAGCAATGAAGAACGAAAAAGTATGAGGAAAAAAGAGAGAGAAAATAAAATACTAGTTTACTGTTTGCCAGTTTGAGGAGAAAGAATGTAAGATTTTTTATTTGGGGGCTCTTTATTTCTTGTCTTCTGTGTTTACATCCTTCTCATTTTTATTTTGATTGCTTATATTCTCTGACTGGGGGAACCTTGTTCAGAGTCACCATTTCCAGAGATGCCTTATAAATAGCAAGCTAGGAGCTTGTGGAGAATATCAGCAGGTTAAGTTTGAATAGGCACAGGTAGCCCCTCAGGGGGCTCCTTCATGGTTTCCTTTCCCGGATGTGTCTGGGGTGAGAGTTCACCACTCTGAGTAAAAATGGATTGCTTAGAATTACCAACGGGGGTAGTTTTTGGCTCCCATAAATGGACTGGTGTGTTCGATAGCTGTGTTGTCGTCTGGCCAACTGGGTTGGCTGTGGGAGGGTTATTTATGTCTGCAGATGCCTTTGAGGCCTGTGGTACTATATTTATATTTTCACGAGAACCTGGATGTGAAGATTTATCCTTTCCATCACAAGAAATGTTGAAAGGGATGGCACAAAACATAAGATCTGAGGGCAGCAGATTAAACTCATTGTCTGGCCGGGTAATCACAAACCTGTAAGAAAAGGCAAAGATGAGTCAGAGATTCCACAGCTGGAACAGGGTGGCAACAGGCAATGGCCAAAGTGCAGCAGTCATCTTGATGGGCCCAAAGAGGGAATGCTGCTGTTTCACTTTGCTTCATTGTTGTTGTTTTTTGTGTGATTAGTGTGTCTGTACTGGGAGACTAGTGTAGTCAGAGCGGTCCTTAACTAGAAACTGGGAGACTAGTTTTTATCCCCGCCTCTGACACTAATCACTCTTATACACACCATTTGCATTCTCTGGGCCTTGCTTTTCTCATTATTTTAACGGGAGAGGGATATGGCTGTGGTTTGGACTGATAGAGCTCTAAAGACCTTTCTGACTCCAGGCTTCTTTGCTTTCAATACCCACTACACTAAGGACTTCAGCTGGCACAATACTGAGCTTAATCAAAAGTGGACAATTATGTGCACTCCCAATATTTCCACCTTGACTTGGGCCTACCCTAATGCTTATGCCACCAACTTTCACATAGAATGTAGTTTGATCAGTGAGGAAAAGAAACAAAAATTAAAGTTGCATTTGAAACCTTGACTGGTATGTAACTAATGAGTGCTGATGAGACTTAAAGAACACCCAGGGCCTGGACTTGCATGGAAAGAATGCAAGGAGGCAGGATGCCTTACACAGTATCAGGCACAGAGAAAATCCTCAATGCAAGTGAGTTATATTAACTAATACACCAGTGCTCATGTCAGAATG